GAGGTGACTGTAACTGCACTACGAAAGTGCGTAACTTTGCCCGCACTTCTCGCGTTTCTGTCAGAAACCTTGCCCGCTTTCTTTTACAGGTTAAGGTCAGTAGGAACCGCGCTATCGAATGCTGCATGGCTCAGGCTGCAGTCTATGAAAATCGCCGAGTTACGAGCCTACGAAAACACATCTTCATGAATTTTGCACAAAATGTAAAGATCGCGTCTTCGTTGGAAATCCACCTTGAGTGGTTGTACATTCTGATTGCAGATATTATGTTCGCTTCGCCCAAGGAATCCTACTGTATTGAATATGGTGATTGGGCGTGCTTCAGCTGCTTAATTGAACATCAAAGCAGTTTCGCACCTAGAGCTTAGACCTGCCTAACTATCAAAACCAACACGGAAAGATTCATTAAGCTAATTGAATTGATTTAACCAGCGTGTTATTCAACCACTCACGGGAGAACTTCAACGAAGTATGCAACCTTTATTTTATCTATCTTGTTAAGCAGATGTGAGTTTCAAAATGAGCAGTTCGGATAACTTCTATGAGCAAGTTTTCCGGTATGTTCAGGTTATTTCATTTTTCTCGTTTTACGCTCTTGGAAGCTCGCCGATGAATTTTGGTCAAAACGTTGATGCTTTTGGTTTGAAAGGAAACTTCGCTTATAGAGGTTCTCGAACACGCTCTTTACGAAAATCGTGGTCCTTGAGGATTACAGGGTCTTTTTGGAGAGATACGGTGAGATGACTGTAACTGTATCACGAAAGTTCGTAACTTCATCTTCACTTCTCGCATATCTGTCAAAAAACCTGCCCGCTTGCTTTTATCGGTCAAAATCAATAAGAACCGCGCTATTGAATGGTGCATGTCTCAGGCTCCAACTCAAAAAAACCCCCCGGTTACGAGCCTACGAAAACACATCCTCATGAATTTTGCACAAAATGTAAAGATCGCGTACTTCGTTGAAATTCCACCTTGGGTGGTTGTATAACACGCTGGTTAAATCAGTTCAATTCGCTTAATGAATCTTTCCGTGTTGGCTTTGATAGTTAGACCGATCTGAGCTCTAGCTGCGAAACTGCTTTGATGTTCAATTGAGCAGCTGAAGCACATCCAACCACCATATTCAATACAGTTGGATTCCTCGAGCGAAGCGAACATAATATTTGCAATCAGAATGTTATACAACCACTCGAGGTGGAATTCCAACGAAGTACGCGTTCTTTACATTTTGTGCAAAATTCATGAAGATGTGTTTCGTAGGCTCGTAACTCGGCGATTCTCATAGACTGCAGCCTGAATCATGCAGCATTCGATAGCGCGGTTCCTACTGACTTTAACCTGTGAAAGAAAGCGGGCAAGGTTTCCAGATACGCGAGAAGTGCGGGCAAAGTTACGCACTTTCGTAGTGCAGTTACAGTCACCTCACCATATTCCCGTAAAGAGCGTGTCCGAAAACCTCTAAAGTTTCCTTGCAATTCCAGATCATCGACATTTTGAGCAAAATCCACCAGCAAGTTTCAGAGCGCAGAACGAGAAAAAATTAAGTAACCCGAAACATCCCGAAAACTTGCTCATAAAGGTTATCCGACCCGCCGATTACGAAAATCATATTCTGCTTGGTAAAAGGCTTCATATTTCAGGGTTATGGTGAGAAAAATTTAGAACGACATGCTTTTTCCAGAATTCACCAACCCTTCTACTTCCTTTAAAAAACAATGTGCGGCTAGTTCTTGGCGCGCCATAATCTACAGAAAAAGCACTATCGAAGGGTCCCTTCTGGAATCTATTGGGGGCAATACGCTCCGCTTTACACCTTTGCGAAGAGACGTCTGCAGAAAGTTTTAAGAACACTGAAATCGAAATGTCAAGCACATGTTGTAAAACAGAAGATTCGCCTTGACGAGCTGAGTACAATGCTGCTTTCGGATTCAGAACATGTTTATTCCGAAGGAAGTTACGGCGACTAGAATTTGGAAACGCGTGATTTTCTAGAATTCACCAATGTTTTTATCTCTTCTAGAAAAAAGTCTGCGGCCAATCTCTAGCGCACTATAATCTACAGGAAGGGTACTATCGAACAGTGCTTACTCTTACCTTTTATGTTGGATACGCGCTGCGTTACATCCTTGCGAAACGACGTTCTCAAAAGAATTTGAGAAAACTGGAAACGGGATGCCGGGGACATGATGTATATGGGCAGATTTGCCTTGACGAGCTGAACACAATGCTGCTTTTGGATTCAGAATATATTCGTTCCGAAGGAAGCTATGGCGCTGCGTAATTTGCGTGATTCGCTTTGATTTCGCGAAATTCTTGGGATTTCGCAAGTCGCGAAATTTCGGGAATGTTGCGGACCCGACATTCATGGAAATTTTGCACGTTCTGAGAGCGGTATTGTTTGTGACTGCTTAATTATATACCCAACTCAATGTAAAATGGACACTTGCTTTGATCTTTTGAATTGGCAATAATCTATATATATATATATATAAAGCTCAAAAATTGTCAGTTTGGAGGGTATGTGCATTATAGAAACGCGCGCCACTCAACCGATTCAGCTGAAACTTTGCACACATATGTTTTCGACCCTTGCGCAGGTGATAGGCTACTTTTTGCGGCGATTTGTTGGTTTCTTCTATCGATTTATTGATTTGTTTACATTTTCCTAAGGAATTGAAGGGTTATCATGTTCAATCAAGCATTTTCCATACTCATGTAAAGGAGGGCGGTTAAGCTCATTCTCACCTCAGGATCACGAGGATGCGGTTTCCAAGCGGATGTCCCAGGGTAGGTCATACTACCATAAAGGAAGGGGGGGGGGGGTCGCAGTGCGGGGAACCATGACCCGGGCTGGACCGGCAAAGCCAACTAGTCACAAATAAAATCTACTAGATGAAAACCCAAGGATGATTTGGCTTGCATTTTTGAGCGTTCAGATGAGAATCGCTGAAGGGGAATAAAAGACAAGATGGTTTCGCAAACCCAGTTGCAAAATTATCTTAATGCACTACATGTCGGCACATACGCACCGGGTTGAGATTTCTGTTATCAATAACATGTGTAAATCAGCATCGCGAGTTTCATCTGGGACCTCAAGAACGCAACCATTCTTTAGAAATAGTAGTAATGGGTCCTTTTACAAAAGTCCCACAAATCTCGACGTTCCGCTGTTTAACAGACAAATTTCGAGCCTCGAAAGATTTCATTCTGTCTACCCTTTATCTCGGATGGAAGAAGTCGGGAGCTTCGCAAAAACTCATTGTTAGTTTAAGTGGGATTGCAAGATATGGTAAGGGTGGTAGAAGTATTTCCAGCAAGGTCCAAGCAGCAAATAGTGCGCAATCGTTCCTATGATTGTCTCTGCATAAATCATTGCTTGCCCAATTTGTCCATTTGGTAGAGAAGGAGATTGCATGATGTGCGGCGTTGTCTACCAAATAACATGCAATGGTTACGGAGCCACTTACATAGGAGAAACAGGACGTCTACTAATTTTTCGCCTAAAAGAAATATAGATGATTCGAAAGTCCAAAATATCTACACCACTTGCCACCACTTCATCATATAGAATGTCATCAAGACCTCACCATAGAAGTTACTGTATCAATTTTAGTGCAAGAATCTGAAATGCAAGCGCGTAAAACCCTTGAAGCTTACTACATCTTCGCCCATTATCCCCAAATGAATACGGAAGATGACAGTATAGCCATGACGAGTGATCTTACAACTTACCAGCGTTATGGGGACTATAAATAGACAGCGGAGGAGGGTTGCGTCAGTTTATCTCTTCTCGCTATCTTGGAATAGTGGACATTGGGTGGCCGCGGTGAGTTTTTGACTGTCGCGGTTAAATTTCTATTACAGCGCTCCGAAGAAGGCGATATATCGCCGAAACGCGCAAGGATTTCAATAATTTTATACCACCTTGGTTAAGCTTAAACAGAACCAAAAAAGAATAGTTTTTATGGCCGCGAAACTCAAATTTAGTCGACGTTTTGTTTTTTGAGGGTATCGTACGTTTATAGTTAAGTGTCAAAGGCAACTTCGTAAATTTTTGGGAAAGTCAAGAGGGAGTTCGTTTTTCGCATTTTCGGAAAGCCACCTCGTGCCAAGTCCTGGTTATGAATGTTTTTCAGATGCATGTATAATTTTGATGAAATCGGTTGTTACGGTCACTCCATCAGTCAAATAGAGCATTGTCAAGTATGAGTGTAATCGATGAAAATATCCATCGTCTAAAGTATTCTCATATTCCGCAATGAAACATCCGAGCAATTCTGGGCCATTATGTCTTACTGCACATCCACTTTATGACAACAAAAGGCTCATTTTGGCGCAAAGGGGTTCAGCAAATAATGAGCACAGTTTTATAGTAATCCTTTGAAGCTCTACAAAATGGTATATAATGTGGTTTAGAAAAATACACCACTTCAACCTTCCTTGAAAACAAAAATCACTTGTTTTTTTTTTTCGGACTCGCGATAATAGTTTTTCTTCCTACTTCAGTGAAACGAAACTTATTGATAAACTTTTCCGAATAATTTCAAAAAAATGCAAGGGAAAGCGAATATGATTGGGATAAAAATGTTTTCATTCTATGCAAAATCCGATCTTTTTCGCATTTTCGGAAAGCCACCTCGTGCCAAGTCCTGGTTATGAATGTTTTTCAGATGCATGTATAATTTTGATGAAATCGGTTGTTACGGTCACTCCATCATTATTTATTTATTATTTTGATTATTTTGAGCTTAATTTAGCACACCAACTACGGGTCGAAAGAGCATCTACTCTTTGAGAAAATGTACGCCCGCTATTTTTCGTTAGAGTAAATGTCAACTTACTTTCTTCAAAAAGCTATGCTTTTTTCTTTTCTGAGATCTTGAGCTTAGGCTTATAAGCACTGTAATTAGTTTCAAAATCATTAAATCGAACACTCCAAAAAGATAGATCGGATAAAAATCTTCAATTAGCAATCGTGAACATTAAAAGAATTTTTACAGCAAATGAAGTTCATGAAAAAAATTTTCGATAGTATGAAGAATATTAGAGTTGGAGTTGTAGTGATAGAAGGACATTCCCGGGTACAGTTTCCAATGAGTTGGTATAATGAAACTAAAAGCGAAATCGAGTAAGTTTCCTTTAAGTCTGCTATGTTTAGACGCCGTAAGAAACAAGAAACGAGCTATTGCTCATTCACATCAAACGGTCAACTCTTTCAACTATTAAACAAAACCTCATGGATAATGATTCGCATATTCAGTCTTCGTGTTATACATCTAATTCAGTTATTTCTCTTCTTTTCTAGTTTTCAAAATGGAAGAAACAATAAGCATCACGCCTTGAGCAAAAATTGAGCCATCACAGGAACTCAAGACTAATATAGTTCTTGATTATTTTCTGGGAATTTCAGATTTTGATTAGAAATCATAGCTTCATTATGGCGTTTTGCCTCAATTTGGCGTAATGATGAGCAGTAGGCGTCGAACTGCATTGCAGAGTGTTTACTCGGGTAGGGCTCCCAAGATTCCGTCTTCGGTCGGATGCCTAGCTAAGGCCAGGGCGCCGGGCTAATCTCGCGCAGTCTGAGTGTAGGTAAGCATCGCTGACGTTCTCCACTCCAGGCCCTCGGTCAGCGATCGCTCTGTGAAGACACTGAGCACGGTCTGACAAGTCTGCTCTTGTCGGGAAAAGTTTCTTACCCGTATGTCAAGAAAAGAAGAAGAAAAATCCTGCACACCAAAGCTCAATCTCCCGCCCGGGTCGTTACGCGACACACGGACGCCCTTACCCGCGATGCATCATTTCGGGATGTTACTTGGGCAAAAGCCCGGTCTGTCTGTTTGGAATCAGTGGGATGCATTTTAACGCATATGCAGTCCCCCCTGGCGCAATCTGAGATGCTTCGTTCACACGCTCTTTTGCTTTTTTTCCGCTTGAACTCAATACGCTCATATTCTTTTCTCTTTTTCAACTTAAGAAGCATTTGTATAAAGCATGAATTGTTTGCACTACTTGACACTTGAGACTTGTTATGCCTTTCTTCATAAGTTTTGTTATCAACATAAATATTGTTAGATGAATCTTCCTCTAGATAATGCATTCAACGCCCTTTAGTGAACCGCTGCTAGCGTCCCATGCTTTAGTAAAAAGTCGACAGTTCCACACGTGAATCGCAGGCCATATCCACAGCATGTATCCATTAATGCTGACGAAAATGAATGGTATGCGGGACTTTGCCAATTTATAGAATCCATTTTATGAACTTGTTGAACCTTCGTGTTGTAATTCCTCTACAATTTTCTCGCTATGAATGCCACGCACGTGAGCTGCCACGTGTGCGTCTTTGCTTGAATTGGCGAGCCAGTCCTTAGCGTACTCTTAGCAGCATAGCATGGCGCCGTATGAGATTAACGGAACACTATTTCTTCGTCGGCCGTTGTGGAGCTGGAGCAAAGGACAAAAGAAAAACACCTAGAGCGGTTGCTTGAGTTGCTATTGAGACGAAAAACAGTAAAGTAAGTTCTAAGAAGTTACCTCTGTATGCGATGCTTTTTCTATAGAATTACTACAAGTACTTTTTCTTACATTGCCTCATTTTCCTCGACTTTTCCAGAAACGCATTACTCTGATTTTTCACCTCGTATCTGTCTTTTTGTAAGCGTAAAATATCAAAAAAATGCACTACACAAAGAAATGGGGCGCGTCTGCTGAGAACAGGTAGGCAGAACTCGACCTCGCGAGATGGGGTGTTGCTGACCGACCGTCCGGTTCGGGCTCCCGCGAATTTCATACATCACGAATTGGGCGTCTTTTCCCGGCCAGGCGATCATTTTTAGTAGAAAAGGATTGCCCGCTCTCAAAACGGGAGATTGATACTCGTCGCCCCAGATCCCGCCAATCGCCGGGTGGTATCAATGACAATGTCAGGGTAACCTAGGTGCCTCCTGGATCAAACATAAACGACACGTCGACACGTCGTGGCGTCATGGAGACTGCTTCATGCTGAGCACCTGCAGGTGCCAGAGTCCCCGCAAATGCCGACCTTCACCCTCTTCTCAACGCTGCAGAGCACATCAATAAGCCCTCGTCATCGCTCTACAGGAAACGATGTTCAGAAAAAAGGACGTGAGTTAGGTAAGTGATTGGACTCCCTCAACATTTGTGGTGAAATCACCAGCAATGGGAAGTTAGAGGCGTTGGCTTTCTCGTCCACCCATCTCGTCCATCTTGGAATGAGATGCTATCACCTCGACTAGCCGTCCTATGAGTACGCCGTCCATGTCAGAAGACTATCACCAACATTGACTGTTACTCGCCAACATTAGCAGCTAACGATCCAAAACTAGTGCTTCTTACGAAGACGTGAAGGAGGTCGTTTGCAACAGAAGTCCCTACAATTTTGTTGTGGGCGACCTTGAGGAAATTATCATGATGCAATAGGAGGGCAAATATAGGATTGGAACGTCTGATATGAGCCCCAAAACGAAAACGATAACCGTCTTGTTGAGCTTCTCTCCGCCGCAAGACTCTTTTATGAAAGGAATGCCATCCCTCTGCAGTGGCTCCGATTACCTCCTTCTTGAAGCGAAAGTACGATTCAGTGAAAAGAGTAAAAAATATCGGCCAAAGCATCGCAAGAAGGAAGCAGATTGTTTATGATGATAACAGGCTGGAATAAAACATATTAAATCGTGACTGGTCCATCGAGGAGGACACCCAACGTACGACAACAGTCGGCTTTTGAAAGAATTGCGAGCTTGCGGAGAATGTGCCTTGATGACTCGTGAGAGAAACTTGAAACTTAGACCATCAAGGACCTGCTCGAAAGACTAAGGGTCATCAGGCAGTATCTGAATGCAACTTACCTCGGGCGACCGAAAGCTAACACTTGCAGAACAGCTTTGCAGGAGGATCTTTGAAAGCACAGGCAAGCGAAGGTACTGGAAGCAGCAGAGTTGAGACGAAGTTTGAAGAAGTGCCGAAGGGACCTCTGTGAATATATCACGTACCGCTGGCATTCTATTTCTATTTAATATTCGTCGTCGACAGTTCAATACAGTATAAAACCGGGATGATCTTTATAAGGTATTTTGATAGTGCTTATACACATACTTCAAGATAGTTCCACTGACAGTGGTCCATCATTTGTTTTTGCCAGTATGTGTTTGAGAGATTGCGAAATGGCTGGCTTCGTTAGACCTCTTCCGACTTCTGTATAAGGATTCCGGGTGGACCACTGTCTCTTCCAACAAGTTCTTCTTCTCTTGCGGCCTTGTTCGTTGAATGGTCAGAGCTAGGTATTAGTCGACCACTTGCGGGAAGAGTAAAGACAGAAGTAGCGCTTTTAAACGAAGGAGACAATACCCCGGCTTCTTCCTGACAAAAATTGGAATTAATCGCGGACTTTTGCGCAAACCTCTTTCACTCATCAGTGTCCGTACCGACGACCGTTGTTCCCACTAGAGTAGTACGGATTCTATCTGCTGAAGTGCGCAGTGTGATCTAGATTATGGGGACATCCACAGCCCAAGACCAGACCATCTCTCTGTCGAACCTTTTGTGAGCCGGAGTGCACCGTCTATGGGAGATTCTCGCATCGCATATAATATCCAGAATGAAAAAATCCTCGGCAAATCGAATACCATAAAAACCATCCCTCCCTTCAAGGGAAGGTTTCAGGAATGGCAGTCCAATATGCCCATGAGGTGCTGTACAAGCTTTTACCCTCCGCTCGCATATTTGAGACTCTGGAAGTAGCCTAATTCTAAGAACAAGCTTCATTTGGATTCAGCTAAATGGACCACACCCGAACGGTTGTCATAAAAGTCTGCCAGAAGTACCGACTCCCGCTTCTCTTCACCTTCTTCGACTACGGTAGAGCCTCGAAATTAACGCTATCCTGTCAGCGATAGTCGATAAGATCCAGCTTATATGAGAACATTAGTCGACTGCGACAAGTATCGTTCACTGTGATGCAGATATCACTTCGCCCTCCGCCCTGACCATTCCAAGCCGACTAGGCGACGCAATTCTGCCGAAACTGTTCACCGCGTTTTTGCAATGGGTGGTCTCAAGCTTTGTTTTGCGGACGATATTTTCCTCTTCTCGAAAGCTACCATTGAAGCGCAGACAGTTGAAGGAACTCAACGAAATAAAGAAGAAGATCGGATTGCAAATAAATTGAAAAAGATTTAGGTCATAAGAAACGTCTTCGTTGTAGATGCGGAAATAAATTTGAAGAGCACCCCCCTCATGGAGGCGTCTTCTTACGTGCATCTCGGACCTTCAATGAACATGGAGAAGACTTGAGGGAAGAGATTAAGGGCCGCATGCACTAACCTCCCCGCGGGGAGGTTAGTGCATGCGGCCCTAACAGGTGAAAAAAGCAGCCTAGGCCGTTCAGCCTTTAAGGAAGCCACTAACCAACGGACGGACCCAGAGTTTCGTGCGCATCTGTTTCGACTCAGTCTTCTTCGCGGCCCTCCGTTACGCAGCTGTAGCCACGTCAAAAGCTCTACAGACCACCCATATACAGAGGTGCGATAGTGGGAACCGATTCTCCCCCTACCTTCACTTTTGAGCTGGTACAGGGTGACCACCTTCACTTTTGGGATAAAAAATTTTTCGCTGGACGACAAAGAAGGAAAATAAGCAAAACAAACGCAAAAAAGATTATTGAAAGCATATATTTATGTATAAGGCGGCATATAAATTCAAAATAAACGTGTTTAGTAAATGGTGTATTTGGAAGTAAAACTTAGCGAAAATGCATGAATTGTATTATGCAAATTTTGTTATAACGTACATCGAAGAAAGTAAATTGATCCAGGCAGTAACGGCCAAGAACCAGAATTTTGAATAATTAAATAGTGAAAAATCATGCAAAATTTCCACTGTTATAAATCTGTTGTTTGAAGATTTCAGCAGTTGCGACTTCATAGGTTGTAAAGAGTAAATGGTGCTCTATCAGATACTGAAGGAATCGAGTCGATTTGAGAGATAGTCTTTGAAAACCAGAATTCTAAATATTTACGCCATTTTTACGTGTTTTTTGACAGTTGACTTAAACTCATCTAAATCTTGAAGTGAAAGTGTGTGATGTTGCGACTTCATAGGTTTTGTGGAGTA